GTGATGATTCCATTTAATTCTCTTCCCTCCCCCCCCCCAAAAAAAAACATGGTTAAACAATGACTCAAAGACTACGAGATCCTACTATTACCATTATGATTTAATGTGTGCGCTATAAAGCTCTGAACACTTCTACTCTTTCTAGGGGCATCTCTATTACAGGAAAATGGAGGACTATCTTGTTAAGGTAATTATTCTGGAGAACCTATATTCAAGCAGTCTGAACATGTAAAGGGACAGTCAATCTTCTTGTATACATAAGCTGATTCACCTACAATCCTATATATTAAGAAACATGTAAATGCCTCTATTTGGAACATCAATGGATCAATATCTTCAAAATTGAAAAATGTAAAAAAACTAACAAAGTTCAGAAGTGTAGCAGGAATCATGCGGGATATTTGGAGAAGAAAACGTCATTTCTAAACTCCGTACTAGCCTCACTAAGTTGTGACCAACAACTAACAAAACTGCAGCAAACAGCTCCCGCCCAAATAAAGGCTGCAAAAGTTCAACATTAGAAAAAAGTAAGACAACTAGAAGCACTTCCTATTTTTTAGAAAGTCTTTTAGCTTTTGGTTCTTTTTCTTATGAACAATGAAAAAGAGGTTCTCTATTTATTTATTTTTGAGATGAAGGTATCTGATGAGGATGGGGATGTTGAAGAGGTAATACATGTAGTTGAGCCAGTCTTGCACATGTTCTTAATGCTGGATAGGTGATTCTTTCAGAAGTACAATGCTGAAATGCCTCATCCACTCTTCCCAATCCTCTTTAGTACTCCGTTGAGAAGCCTCAACTGCAGTACGCAATCTGCCATCATTGACCTACATATATGTAGTTTAGAGTCAGTATACCCAACTAGACATCCTCGAAGTTTGAAGAAAAGTAACAAAAATATTATTCAAATAGAAGAAGGGAGAAATAGAAACAGAAATTCAATTATTGCTACTACAGGCCGACCTTCATATTTTTCTTGGTTTTAAAAAAGGTGCAATGAGGAGCGAGAGATTTGACCCCAAACTGGATTGAAGCCCCCACCTGATGGGATACCTAAGGAATCCCTTCTTCTTTTTTTATGAAAATAAGTGAAATATCATTAAAGGGAATCAAAAAGATGTTAACAAAGCATCTATCTTTTAAGGAACTACTAGAATTTGAGATACCATCGAAACATATGTGTTTTAAACCTTAGGGCCTAAACCCTTATCCCTAAACCATAAACCTCGGAGCCTAAACCCTAAACCCTAAATCCTAAGTCTTAGAGCCTAAACCCTTAACCATATATCATAACCCCTAAACATTAGGGCCTAAACCCTAAATATTAAACCTTAGGGCGTAACAAAAAACCTTAATCACAAATCTGAAACTTTTAACCTTAGGGCCTAAACCCTAAGCGATAAACCTTAAACCCTAAACCCATTACCCTACACCTTACGGACTAAATCCTAAGCCTTAAACTCTAAACCCTAAACCTTAGGGCCTAAACTCTAAACCCTAACCCCTAAACCTTAGGGCCTAACCCCAAAACCCTAGGGTATAAACCCTAAACCCTAATCCCTAAACCCTAAACCCTAATCCCTAATCCCTAATCCCTAAACCTTTTGGCATAAACCCTAAAAACTAAACTCTAAACCTTAGGACCTAGACCCTAAAATCTAAACCCTAAATCATAAACTTTAAACCTTAGGTCCTAAATAATAAATTCTGAACCCTAAAGCTTAGGTCCTAAACCTAAACCCCAAAACATTAGGGCCTAAACCCTAAAACCTAAATCCTAATCCCTAACCTTAGTGCCTAAACCTAAAGGCCTAAACTCTAATTAAGCTTCTTCTTGATCATTCACAGGTAGCATATCTTTATCCAATTCATCTTCATAGTGACCCACTTTGTATTCTTCTAGAGGATCATGGGCATTATCAGTAGTCTCAGGGATTGTGTTGATGGTACATTTTTCCTTTGAACTAGCTAGTCTTCTTCCTTTTTTCTGGGCTAAATATTGCTGGTTTTCCTTCTTTTTTCCTTCCTCAAGAGCTAATTTTTCCTATCTTCTTCTATTAGCTTCTCTTTTCTTCTAACTCATCTACTCTGAAGCTTTATTATTTTGCCTTTGTTTTTCAATAGTGTTTCTATATCAGTCCCTTCACCCACCCCATCAGAATGATGTTAAACAACATTAGAGTTCTCTTTATTTTGTTGACCTTCCAACGTAATATTCTGTTGCTGCTGCACCTGACTCATGGTCTGAGTTGCTGCCTGAAAATGACCCCTTGAATCAGCTTCTTTATACACAAGATTCCCTTTTTCTTGTTGAACTAGAGCATTAACCTCAACCCTGCCTGAGTTCACCTCACCCTCATCATCACTGTGACCCAATTCAGGCCCTCCATAGACTCATAATCTAGAGAATCTTCAGCAGCAGGGTCTACATCTTCAATCAAAACTGGACTCAGATTCTGAGTGTCATTATGAGTAGTCATGTTGATCTTGTTGTTGATGTTACCTTGTATCATAGGAGCTTGATAAGTTGTGGTAGCAGGAGCTCTAAGGTCAATCCTAGGGTCATCCATATTAGAACTAGTGAACTACCACCCCCTTTGGTTCCCTTCCTGCAAATTAGTGATTTTCTCCTGCATACCCCCTTTCATACCTCCAGACTTCTCAGATGACAGATCCAGGTAAAATAACACAATTATTAATGGGGTGGGGTTGATGGAGCATTTACCTTACTTATTGTTGGCATCCTTGCTTTGCTTGTTATGAAATACTTTAAAGGCAACACTGGGAATGGGGACAACAACACTACCATGGGGTTGAGGGGTGGGGAGCATTGAGTCAATACCTTGCTTATTGTTGGCATCCTTGCATTGATTATCCTGATAAACTTTAGGGGCAACACTGGGGGTGGGGACTGCAACACTACCATGGGGTTGAGGGGAGGGTAGCATTGAGTCAGTACCTTTGTGTGGTTCCTTACTGGTCTGATTCTGATGTGGTACTGGTTTATAAACCTGATTTTGTTGGGTTTTTTGGTGATTTCTCTGATTGTTTTGAGGATAGCCTCTAAAGTTCTTTTTCTTTTGTGTCTGTCATTGGTCTTCTTGCATTTTTTGTTGATCCTGATGAGTTCTTGATGGCTGTTCTTGGTACCTGAAACACTAGCAGAAATATTGTTCTTAACATGCTGATAATTAATTGGTAGAGTAGTTACATGAGTGTCATTACCTTGTGTTGTTTTGGTTTTGTTCTTGTTTGCTGCTTCCGCCACCTTTCTTCTTCGATATTCATCATCTCTCCTCTTGACATTGCATGTATGAACCTTGTGGCCTTGATGTTTGCAGTAAATCAATATCTTTACTTGTTGGAACCAGTGGAAAAATAGATGTGCATGCAAATATGGAGGAAACAAATCTAATAATGACTAGAGTGATATACTTGGTGCTTAAAGACATCAACAACCTCCTACTCATCAACTCTCCTTACATAAAATGGGCATCCAAGTGGCCTGAGTAGATACAGTTTGCAGGAAATTGCTTCCATGATATCAAAATTACAAAGGTAAGTTGGTTTAAGCCACCTAAAAATGTGGTTAAAAATCAACTCTGATGGTAGTGCATTAGACAACCCAGGAAAGAATAAGGGGCTGGTGGTATTGTTAGAGACGCCCAAGGTGATTTAATCTATGTTTATGCTACTCCACTAGGCCATGGTACCAACAACCAAGCAGAGATTGAAGCTGCTCAATGGGGTCTATCTTGGTATCTAAATAATGGCTTTAACCAGGTGATTTTGGAAGTAGACTCTGAGTTAGTGGTTCACTGGATAAAACAAGAAGTTGCTCCACCTTGGAATTTGCAGCATACTGTAGCTAACCTTAAGAGAACATGTGATCAATTCCAATCCTTTTCCTGTAATCACACCTTTAGAGAGACT